ACTACTCGCAAAGTGCCTACTCGCAAACGTCCGAAAAAAAACACGTGCTTGCCTGCGATGTAATGGATCGGAGATTCCTCGCGGCGAAGCCAGGCCATTTGCGAGTAGTTACTTTGCGAGTAGTGGAACGCGCCTGTCTACTTGCATCCTTCCCCTTCGGCCCATCCTCGGCCGCTTTCGCTGACCGCGCCCCGCTCGAGAAGCGTCAGCATGGCCTTCCAAGACCCTTGTGCATCCCTGCCGCTCATCCTTACCATGTGGGTTGGCTGCAGCCTTGCTGGTCCAGCGGCCCAGCGCAGCCGGCGCAGTCGGCGCCGCGCACGCCGCAGGCGGCCCCCGCCGTCGCAAGCTCCTGTCGGTGGAGCTCCACGCGCGGGAGGTGCAGCCGCTGCCGCTCCCCAGCCTGCCAGAGGGCGTCTTCCAGCGCGCAGGGCGCGTCTTCCGGGTAAACGAGGAGAGCGCCGCTTTCGTTCCCCTCTGCGCCCCGCAGTTCGGCTTGTCGGGGAAGCTGCAAGCACAGCTGCACGCCTCTCGGCGTCGCCGCACAGCTGCACGCTGTCTCCTCTGCAGCGTCTCCCTGGCCAAGCCTTGCACCAGGGGCGTCTGCAGCGCAATCGCCAGTTCCCCGCCCGCGGCGAGCTCCAGCCCTCTCGCTTGCAGTCCGCGCCGCGCTGTTGCCGGCTGCTGAGCAGGCTATGGCAGTTCCAGGCAACCTGCCACTCTCCCGCTGCCCTGGCCCTCCGCCGCCTCCTGCAACGCCGCCGCCCGGGCAGGCCGCAGAGGCCGCGAGGCCGGCGCGAGCTGGCCAGCCGTGCGCGCAGGCCACCAGACCTCGCGGGCAGGCGCAGCACGGCTCCTTGGCTGCGGCGTCGAGGCCCCGCTCCAGGAGGTCCCACCGGCAGCCCGCGACCCGGCCGTCCTGCCGCTCCCTCGCGGCGCCCGCGAGACCTGTCCATCCGCACGGGGCGTGCGTGCCTCTCGCCCGGCCGGCGCAGGCGCTGAGGACCGCGGCCGCCTGCTTCTGGAGTCCAGCATTTTGCGGCTCCTGTAGCTCCCCCCGAAACAGGATTCCCTTTCTACTCCTCGGGCTCAAGATTCCCCCCTGTAAAGAAGAGGTTGCTCTGGGTGGAGCTCCTGGTCATTGGAGAGCGCAAAGTGCCCCTGGAGGGCGGTGGTCAACACTAATGTAGGACGACGATTAATGAATCCGAATGACCGGGGGTCGTGTTGCGTCGGCGGCGCCCCGGAGGATGATTACGCAGAAAACACCAGCCGCGGGCTGGGAAACTATTTTTTCAATCGTTCCCCCCCTGGCGTCCTCAGGCGCGCGCCTGGACAGCCGACGGGACATTGAATTTTTGTTGTAAAACTTGGGTTCCACGTGGGTTGCGTAACCGCATGCCGATGATAATAAAGGGACCCCCCCCTTCAGTGTTTAGAGTTGATTATCGTCGCCCTATACAAAATTCAAATTGGGCGGCGAGCGCTGAGGCCGAACTTCATTATCACCTCGAAACGCTATGTTGAGATAGCAACATCAAGCGATGTTGATATAGCAACATCAAGCGAAGCGATCACACTTTTTCAGGATGTGTCAAGCGAAACCAATAATTTTGGGAGGCAGGCTCAAACGAAACGAGCAATGTTTCAAGGATGTCTCAAGCGAAACCGAAAATTTTGGGAGGCAGACTCAAACGAAACGAGCAATGTTTCAAGGATGTCTCAAGCGAAACCAAAAATTTTGGGAGGCATACTCAAACGAAACGAGCAATGTTCCAAGGATGTCTCAAGGATGTTTCAAGCTAATACAGCATTTTTTTTTCTTTTTATCTATATTGTTTTATTATCTTCCTTTTTATATATGTATCTATCCCCGCGCGCGCCTGAACTTTTTTATCTCTGGGGTTGATTATCCATGGAAAGGGGAGCACATGAGCTACCCTACATGAGCACTTAAAAAATCAAGTTTCATAAAGCGTTTGTAAATTGAAATTGATAGATTTGGAACTTTCCATTTTTCCGCTATTCTTCTCTTATTCTTCTTCTCTTCTTCTCTTCTTATTATTCTTCTACGTTCTTCTTCTTATTTTATATTTCTATCTGTCCTCACGCTCGCCTGAACTGTTTTATCCCTGGGGTTGATTATCCATGGAAAATGAAGCACATGAGCTACCCTACACGAGCACTTTAAAAAATCAATTTTCATAAAGCGTTTGTAAATTAAAATTGATAGATTTGGAACTTTGGAGTTTTTCCTTTCTTCGTCCTCTTCTTATTCTCCTCTTCTTCTTTCTTATTACTCTTCTACTGTATTATTCTTTTATATTTCTCTCTGTCCCCACGCTCGCCTGAACTTGTTTATCTCTGGGGTTGATTATCCATGGAAATTGAGGCACATGAGCTACCCTACACGAGCACTTACAAAAACAAGTTTCATAAAGCGCTTGTACATAAAATCTAATAGATTTGAAACTCGAGATTTGTTCTTCTTTTCCTCCTTCTTCTCCCCCTATCATTTATTTTATGTTATTATTCATTCTTTTTTATTTTTCTTTTTTATATATAGCTTCCTCCATTCCTCCGCCCGCCTGAACTTTACAAACGAAAAACAATAGTTTGACGGTGTCTCAAGCGAAATAAACAATAGTTTGACGGTGTCTCAAGCGAAATAAGCAATCGTTTCAAGATGTCTCAAGCGAAATACGCAATAGTTTCAGGATGTGTCAGGCGAAATCAGCAATCATTTGAGGACGCTACAAGCGAAAAATACAATTATTTCGAGGATGTCTCAAGCGAAATAAGCAATAGTCTGACTGTGTTTCAAGCGAAATCAGCAATAGTTTGCGGATGTCTCAAGCGAAACAAGGGATTTGTCGAGGATGTCTCCAGCGAGATAAGCCATTGTTGAGGATATTTCTATGCAAACTAAACGCCACGGATGTCTCAAAACGTGCTCGGCTTGGTCTCCTCTTGATCATCTCTTACTTCGAGATTATGCTGAGGTCTGCTGGGCTACTTTTATTATCTCTCCCTGGACCCCGAACTTTATTATCCCCTAGTGTTTATTCTCACGGGCATGAGGTTATTTGGCGTAACTTTTGAATCCGACGTCAACTGAGCATTAGACATAATGTCTGAATCCGACGTGGAACGAGTATTTGAAGTAAAATGTCACGACGACATGAAGTTAGTCTTCGACGCAAGATTCGAAGCCGACATATAATAGACATTTTTTTGAACCGTCCTCCTCCCGTTTGAAAATTCATGTATATAGAGAGAGAGTGAGCAAGACACTGTTTGTTCTATCGTTTCCCTTATTTCTTTCCAGACCATCCTGTGGTATTGGGTCCTCGAGTTGAAGAGACGGTGCCCCGCGTTCCTCTCCTTTCCTCCTCTCCCTCCTCCCTACCGTCCGCATGCGCCCCGCACACCCAGTACGGCGCTTCGTGGCCCCATAGGGAGCCCCACCGACAGTCCCAGTGCTACCGTCCGCATGCGTCCCGCACACCCAGTACAGTGTTTCGTGGCCCCCTCCTCCCTCCTCCCTGCGTTTCACCCACCCAGTACAGCGCTTCGTGGCCCCATGAGGAGCTCCACCGAAGCCCCCAGTGGGACCGCCCGCGTGCGCCCCACACGGCAGGTCCAAGGGGAAGGGGGGGGGCTAGCTAAAGGGGTACTTTCCTTTGGGGGTGCGCCACGTGCACGCTCTCTCCAAGGTATGTTGATTCATGAGCGTGTTCTTTATTGCTTGGGGCATAATGGGCAGTATAGCCCCCGGCCCCTCCTTTCCCCCCCTATAACGTAACGCCCTTCCCCCCCCCAGAGCGTTCTGGGCACTGCCGCCGTGCGCACGGCGGGGGGAGGCGTTACATTATACCCCCCTCGGCCCCTCCCCCCCTTATGATGCCCATTTTCGCCGAAAAGAAAGGAACGCGCTCCATTGTTTCTGTTAGCCTGGCGTAGGTGGACCAGGACATGAGGTTGTGTCTTGGGGGGGGAGCAGAAGCACGGGGAGGAGGGGGAGGCAGGGCACGGCAGCACGGGGGCCAGGGCAAGGACATGGGGCATTGGACCAGGATGGGATTCGGGCATTCCGAATTTCGCCATAAGAGGGAGGGGGTCACAACCCTCCCAGATGAGCAGTTTTAGACCCCCCAGACCAGCCATGCAAGGGTGGCCTTTGGCAAAGACCCCACTGGAACCCTCCAAGACAGCTCAAATCAGACTCCCCCAAATCAGACCACGCCCATTTCATTGTGAAATCTGGAGTAAGCATTGACGCGTCTCATCCTCATCGGTCTCCCCGCCGTGTTCTGTGTCCTCATGGCGTTACTTCTCGGAAAGCAAGGTGAAGCATTCCTACATCATTTCCTCCCCCGTGCGCGCTCGCCAGGGACGCCCTGAACAGCTTCGACGAGACTGGGGAGGGCAGGATCAGCAAGGAGGCCCGCCGTCCACCAGGGTGGGAGGTCGCGGCAGAGGTCTCTGTCGAGGTGCCCCTGTCGGAGTTCTGCATCGGTATTGGCCCCTGGGGACCGATATCGGGCCCCTGGGCCCCAGGGCCATCAGAAACTGACCAGGAGCGAAAAAGACGCTCCTACAGAAGGGGTCGGAACCTCTGGGGCCGCGGATTGAAACACAACAAAAGAACATCCCGCGCGCCGCGGATGCCGCGGTTGTCGCATCGGGAGGAGGAGGAGGAGGAGGAGGAGGAGGAGGAGGAGGAGGAGGAAGAAGAAGAAGAAGAAGGAGGAGGAGGAGGAGGAGGTAGGAGGAGGAGGAGGAGGGGAAGGAGGAAGAGGAGGAGGAGGAGGAGGGAGGCGCAGGAGGCACTCTCCCGCCCCCCCTCTGCCGTATCCCTCCCTTCTCTCTCTCCCCCCCCGCTCCCTCGCCCCCTCCCCCCATCCCTCCTCCCCGCCCCTCCTTCCCCCCTCTCCCCCCTCCTCGTCTTCCTCCTCTTTCTCCCCTCCATCCTCCTCCCCTTTCTCCTCTTCGTCCCCCCTCCATCCATCTTCCTCCTCTTCCTCCTCTTTCTCCCCTCCTCCTCGTCCCCCGTATCCTCCTCATCCTCCTCTTTCTCCCCCTCCATCCCTCCCGTTTCTTCAGCATGCCGTCGGGCCGGCTCTGGCCCGTAGCCTTAGCCCCTCCCTCCCTCGCCTTCCTCCCCCTCCCCACTTCCTGCCCCTTCCTCCCCCCCTTCCCCCTCCCCTCCTTCTCCTCCTCCCCCGCCTTCTTCCATACTCCCCCCACCCATCTGCAATAATATGCCCATCCTGCGTGCCTCTCTCCTTCGTCCTTCCCCTCACACCCCTGACAGTGTCCAGCGGTGGCGCCGCCTCGTCGGTATATCTTTATACATATATATATATACACATATATAAGATACACTGTGTGCTGTGTGCTGTATCTGCGTGGGGCTGTTTGTTTTGTGTGTCCGTGTTTGGTTGAAAGCGCACGGTGCTCCAGAGTGCTGTTCCGGTTCCGGCGCTGGCCTCGTTTCTGGATCGGTACGCTCTTCCCGCCGCTCAGAGTGGGGCTCTCGCTCGCACGCGCGCGGGCCACACTGCTGGATCCGACTCCTTCAGCCCCGTTTGTGTCCCCTCGCTTGTGCCGCCTGTCTTCCCCTGCTGCTGCTGCTGCTGCTGCTGCTGCTGATCCTCATCCTTCTCCTCCTTCGATGTCGCCGATGGTAGAGCCAACGATGGGGCGAGGCACTGCGACTGCCGTTTGGGGGACCAGTCTCGTTCAGGACACCCCGCTCGGCATCTCTGAGGGGATGCAGCACAACAAGACGGGATTGGTGGAATGAGAAGGACGTCAGATGTGGCGCGACCGCACATAGCTTGCCCCTGCCCTCTATGATCCTTCTTTCTACATGTCTTTCTTTATGTTATTGTGTTCTCTCTCTCTCTGTCTCTTGTCTCATTCCTGGCCATTTCTGTGGTGCTGGGCCCTCGTTTTAAAGAGACAGCGCCCCTCCTCTCCTCCTCCCCCCATACCGCTCCTCCATCTTCCCACCCTTGCCTCTGGTCTCAGCACGACCATTCCATCACACCCCTCACGATGTGCGTGTCCCCGCAGGGAGTTCCACCGAAGGCCCCAGTAGCAGGGTTCGCATGCGGTTCCCCGCCAGTGTCGGCACAACTCTCACTCGTTTGCCTCAGTGGCAGGGTTCGCATGCGGTTCCCCGCCCATGTCGGCGCACCCCTTACACGTTCTCGGGCCCGCATAGGGAGCTCCACCGAAGGCCCCATTGGCAGTGTTCACATGCAGTTTCCCGCCCATCGCGGCACACCCTTCGCACGTTTCGTGGCCCCATAGGGAGCTCCACCGAAGGCCCCAGTGGCAATGTTCACATACGGCTCCCCGCCAATGTCGGCACATTCTTTACACGTTACGTGGTTTTGTTGGTGGTTTCACCGAAAGCTCCAGTGGCAGGGTTTGTTCGCATGTGGTTTCCCGCTAATGTCAACACACGTAGCACACGATCCGTGGCCCCATAGGGAGTTACACCGAAGGCCTCAGTGGCAGGGTTTGTTCACATGCGGTTCCCCGGCAATGTCGGTACACGTCACGTGACGTGTCCGTGGCGGCATTGGGAGTTCCACCGAAGGCCCCAGTGGCAGGGTTCGCATGCGGTTCCCCGCCCACTGTGGCACACACTTCACGCGCTTCGTGGCCGCATAGGGAGCTCCACCGAAGGCCCCAGTGGCAGTGTTTGTTCACATGCGGTTCCCCGCCAATGTCGGCACACCCCTTACACGCTTCGTGGCCCCATATGGAGTCCCACCGAAGGCCTCAGTGGCAGGGTTTGTTCCCATGCGGTTCCCCGCCCATTGAGGCACCACCCTTCACACGTTTCGTGGCCCCATTGGTGGTTCCACCGATGGCCTCAGTGGCAGGGTTTGTTCACATGCAGTTCCCCGCCCATTGCGGCACACCCCTCGTGCGTTTCGTTGCCGCGCAGGGAGCTCCATCGAAGGCCTCAGTGGCAGGGTTCGCATGCGGTTCCCCGCCCTGTTTCGGCACACCCCCTACACGCTCCGTGGCCCCATAGGGAGGTTCACCGAAAGCGGTGCCACAACGCGGTATGTTCACAACTGTATATGGTTGGGTTCTTCGACCGCATAGTTCTTATTCAAAGTGTTGCGCTCTCTCTCTCTCTCGTTCTCTCATTCTCTCTCTCTCTCTCTCCCTCCCTCCCTCCCTCCCTATTTGTCCCTTCCGTTCTCTCTCTCACTCTCTCTCTCTCATTTCGTTGTTTCGTCATTTTTTTTTCTCTCTCTCTCTCTATCCATCTCTCTCTCTCACACTCTCCTTGTCTCTCTCTCTCTCTCTCTGGCTCTCTCTCTCTCTCTCTCTCTTTCTCTCTCTCGTTCGCTCTCTCTCTCTCTCGTTCTCTCGCTGTTTTTGTTTCTCTCTCTCTCTCTCTCGCTCTCTCCTCCCTATCCTCCCCCCCCACTCTCTCCCATCCCCTTCATATCACACCCTCCTTGTCTTTCCCCCTCTACTCCCTTCTTCCCTTCTGCTCCATCCTCCCCATCCTGAGTCTGAATATGAATATGAAGGAGTCTGCGCATGAGTGGGTTTGAGTACGCGTGGGTCTGAGTATGGGTCAGCCTGGGCACGAGCATCGGCCTCCTGAGGCCTTCCAGGACCTGAAGCCCCATGGGGCCTCCTGCAGCTTCATTGATCTCCCTGGGGCGTCATGTGGCATCCTGAGGTGTCCCAGAACCCGGTTGGCATCCTGGGGCCTCCTAGAGACTCCCCCGAAGACTTCGGGACCAGGGTCTACCTGGAGCCTCTTGTGAGCTCCTCGGGCGTTGTCCGATATTTCTTCGCCTCCTTGAGCTGCCTTGGGCCTAGGTGTCACAAGTCTGGACGCGAACGGATCGGTGCAACACACTTGGTCGACACCTTTTCTGCGAGGCCCAAGTGCCACGGGCTGCTGCATCGTGGTGATCGTCGGGCTCGAAGTAAGACGCGCTAACCCTCCCAAAGTGCCCGTTCCATCTGAGAGTTCCTACCGAGCTGGGCGCGAACGGGCTGGTGCAACCCCCTGCTCGACCCCCCCCCCTGGCACGTCCAAATGGGGCGCCTACGACATGGCGCTGCTGATGTCTCCAGGGGGACTCGTCTACCCCTCTAGAGCAGCCGCTCTATTTGAGAGGTCCCACCTTGGCCCAGCATGGGCCCGCGCAACACCCCTTTTGGAGGCCCAACGGCGATGCCTGCTATAGTTAACCCGCATGATAAGGAAAGTGCGAGAGTGGATGACCCTGAGTACACAAAAGGGGGGGGTGCTTGCAGAACCCCCCCCCCTCCCCTCCTTCAAGGGGGGGGGTAAGATTTTCGACCCCCCCCCCATACCCCCCTTAATGGGGTGGGGGAGGTTCCGAACCCCCCCTCTCCCCCCCCCTGAAGGGTGAAGGGGGGGTTCTCCAGCCCCCTCTCCCCTCCCCCCCTTGGCGCTGGAAGGATGGGGGGGGGATTCGAACCGCCCCCCACCCCTCCCCCCCTGTGCCCCGAACAGGGGGCGGGGGGGGGGGCTCTCCCGCAAAGGGGGGGGGGGTCTGGCCTCGGGACATTGAGTAGTGAATAGTGAGTTGGGACTAGTGAGTAGTGAGTAGTGAGTAGATAGTAGCGAGTAGTGGGGAGTGAGTAGTGAGTAGTGAGTACGGAGGAGTGCGCACTGAGTAGTGCGTAGTGTGTAGTGAGTGGTGAGTAGTGGGTAGTGGGGAGTGGGTAGTGAGTAGCGAGTAGTGAATAGTGAGCAGCGAGTAGGGCATTGCGAGTAGTCAGTAATGAGGAAGAAGTAGTCAGTAGTGAGTAGGGAGTAGTGACTAGCGAGTAGGGAGTAGCGAGTAGTGGGTAGTGAATAGTATGTAGTGAGTTGTGAGTAGTCGGTCGTGGGGAGTGGGTGGTGAGTAGTTAGTAGCGAGTAAGGAGTAGCGAGTAGTAAATCGTGAGTAGCGAATAGGGCATTGAGAGTAGTGAGTAGTGAGGACTGCGCAGTCAGTAGTGCGTAGGGAGTAGTGTGTGTCGAGTAGGGAGTAGCGGGTACAAATTAGTGAACAGTGGGTAGTGAGTAGGGAGTAGTGAGTAGTGAGTGGTGAGAAGTCAGACGTCGGTAGTGGGTAGCGCGCAGGGAGTAGCGATTAGAGAATAGTGGGTAGTGAATAGTGCGTCATGAGCAGTGAGTAGTGGGTAGTTTGTAGTGAGTATTTAGTAGTGACGTGTGACTAGTGAGTAGGGAGTAGTGAGTATTGAGTAGTGCGTAGTGCGTAGCGGGTGGTGAATATTGCGTATCGGGTAGCGAGTAGCGAGTAGGGACTAGCGACTAGTGGGTAGTGAGCAGTGAGGAGTGAGCAGCGAGTACGGTGTAAGGAGTAGGGAGTAGCGAGTAGCGAGCAGCGGATAGTGAGTAGTGAGTTGTGGACAGTGA